ATTCAGAGAATATACCTAGTTGGTGAAGTTAAACTTTCAAAGATTCAGAGATAACTGTGACCACAATTCCAAGAAGGCGTAGTATAGAGTACAACAGAGACAGTCTACTAGAGAATGAATTTCAATTTAAGAGTCCAACAGATCTGAGTTTGAATTCTACCTATGCCAAATGCTAGCCATGTGATCTTGAGTAAGTTATTACTATATGTAAGCCTCAGTTTCCTCATCTGTAAAAAAGGGATAAAAATGGTAACTTCCACAGAGTTGTTGGAAGAAGGATTTCCTAAAATCCTGCTAATATTAATAACACACTAAGCTCAATGCATGGCAGAGAGTAAGCACTCAGTAAAAGTAGATATTATTATTGCTGAGTGTTCTGGGTTTGACAGCTGTAGAAACAACCCTGGGCTCACCAACAGTGACCTGCTGTAACGTCCCTTGGCTACTCATAATATGCATGGACTTATTTATAGTACCTGATTCCTAAAAGGTATTAGAAGTTGTTGAATGCATTCAGATATGTATTTCAATGTTCAGAGCATTTGGATTCCAAAAGGAGAACTTTATGCTTTTACATTTTTATGTTTAACATTACAGTTTTTGCCCTGAATCTAGCAACAAATGGACTTGAACGATTTGTATTAGGCCCTTTACAAGAGCGGAGCATTGTGGCTTGCACTTACTCAAATCCAAATTAAGGTCTAAATCTGAAGAAAGAAAATAACCTTTGTAAAGGACCAAACTCCACGGGGAGAGAAAGTAGGCCAAGCACCTCCTGGACAAACTGTTGGAAGAGATCCACCATTTCTTTTAACTTTTCTTACTTGCTACCAGCACTGAAACAAATCCATTTGTATCAACAACTGTTATTTCTCCACTTCTAAAGAAAATCAGCAAACAATACAGAAGATTCTAGAGAGAACATTGTAATCATGGTTCATTCTTATGGAAAGTTTAAGTGCTTATTCTGCATCTCTCTAGTTGTGTGCATTTGCCATACCTCGACCTTTATAAGGTTCAGTTCTTGTTTTCCAATCTCTGAAATGGGGATAATAATGTCACTTTGCCAGTCTCTTAACCTGTGACTCAGTTTTGTTTTCCATCCTATACTATAGGGATAATAACACCTACTTCAGAGTTTGTTGTGAAAACTAAATGAGTGGTATATATATGTATTAATATACATAATATATATTAATTATAATACATATATAGAACATAGTATAAATATATACTAATTATTAATGTATATATAAGATATATACTGGTATATACTAATATATATTATTTCATGCATGTATGTGTGTGTATATCTATATTCTTCCTTGTTGTTCATGGGGTTATCGTAAGGACCAAACAAATTATGGAGTATAACCTGTCATGAAGCAGTGTGTGAGCTACGGATTGTTATGCAACAAGCATGAAGTGCAATAATTTTTTTCTTTTTTATTTCAGCATACTATAGAGGTACAAATGTTTATGTCATGTATATTGCCCTTGCGCCACTCGAGTTAGAGCTTCAGGTATGTCCATCCCCCAGAGAGTGTGCACCACACTCACTATGTGTGTATATACCCATTCCCTCCTCAGCCCTCCCATCTGCCCGACACCCAGTGAATGTTATTACTTTATGTGCACTTAAATGTTGATCAGTTAAACCAATTTGGTGGTTGTTTTGGTTGGTACATGTGGTGCTTGTTTTTCCATTCTTGGGATACTTCACTTAGTAGAATGGGTTCCAGCTCTATCCAGGATAATACAAGAGGTGCCATATCACCGTTGTTTTGTGGCTGAATAGTACTCCATGGTATACATATACCACATTTTATTAATCCACTCATGTATTGATGGGCACTTGGTAGTTTCCACATCTTTGCAATTGGGAATTGTGCTGCTATAAACACTCTAGTGCAGATGTCTTCTTTATAGAATGTCTTTTGCCCTTTTGGGTAGATGCTCAGTAATGGGATTGCTGGATGAAATGTTAGTTCTACTTGTATCTCTTGTATCTCCATATTACTTTCCACAGAGGTTGAACTAGTTTGCAGGCCCACCAGCAGTGGAGGAGTGTTCCTATCTCTCTGCATCCACACCAACATTTTTGTTTTGGCACTTTTTGATAAAGGCCATTCTCACTGGAGATAAGTGATATCTCATTGTGGTTTTGATTTGCATTTCCCTGATGATTAGAGATATTGAGCACTTTTTCATGTTTGTTAGCCATTAGCCTATCTTCTTTGGAAGAGTTTCTGTTCATATCTTTTGCCCACTTTTTTTTTTTTGAGACAGAGTCTCACTTTGTTGCCCCAGGCTAGAGTGAGTGCCATGGCGTCAGCCTCGCTCACAGCAACCTCAATCTCCTGGGCTCAAGCGATCCTCCTGCCTCAGCCTCCCGAGTATCTGGGACTACAGGCATGTGCCACCATGCCCGGCTAATTTTTTGTATATATATTTTTTAGTTGGTCAATTAATTTCTTTCTATTTTTGGTAGAGACGGGGTCTTGCTCAGGCTGGTTTCGAACTCCTGACCTTGAGCAATCTGCCCGCCTCGGCCTCCCAAAGTGCTAGGATTACAGACGTGAGCCACCGCGCCCGGCCTGCCCACTTTTTGATAGGGTTGTTTGATTTTTTCTTGCTGATTTTCCTGAGTTCTATACAGATTCTAGTTATCAGCCCTTTATCGGATGTGTAACATGCAAATATTTTCTCCCAATCTGTAGGTTGTCTGTTTGCTCTCATGATAGTTTCCTTGGCTGTGCAGAAGCTTTTTAATTTGATCAGGTCCCATTTATTTATTTTTGTTGTTGCTGTGATTGCCTTTGGGGTCTTCTTCAAAAATCCTTTGCCTAGGCCAATGTCTATAAGAGTTTTCCCAACATTTTCTTCTAGAATTCTTTTAGTTTCATGCTTTAGGTTTAAGTGTGTTATCCACCATGAGTTGACTTTTGTCACTGGTGAAAGAAGCCTATCCTGTTTCAGTCTTCTACATGTGGCTGTCCAGTTTTCCCTGCACCACTTATTGAATAAGGATTCTTTTCCCCAGTGTCTGTTTTTGTCTGCTTCGTCAAAGATTAGATGGCTATATGAGGCTGGTTTTATATCTGGGTTCTCAGTTCTGTTCTGTTGGTCTCTGTCTTGTTCTTGTGCCAGTAAAATGCTGTTTTAGTTACTATAGCCTTGTAATATAGATTGAAGTCTGGTAAATTGATGCCTCCCAATTTGTTCTTTTTGCTTAAGGTTGCTTTTGCTATACTGGGTCTTCTCTGGTTCCATACGAAGCATAGAATTATTTATTTCTATATGTGTGAAAAATGATGTTGGTATTTTACTAGGGATTGCATTGAATATGTAGATCACTTTGGTTAGTATAGACATTTTAACAATGTTGATTCTGCCAACCCATGAGCATGGTATGGTTTTCCACCTGTTTATGTCCCCTGCTATTTCCTTCCTCAGTGTTTTGTAGTTCTCCCTGTAGAGGTCTTTTACCTCCTTAGTTAAATATATTCCTAGGTATTTTACTTTCTTTGTTGCTATTGTGAAGGGTATTGAGTCTTTTACATTGGTGATTGTTTATTGGTATTCTGCATTTGGTTGATGTCCATTGCTAGAGAGCTGGTGTTCCCCTTTGGGGATGTGCTTTCCAGTTGATTCTTTATACTTCCAGAGTTATTTCACTGATTCCTTCCCAACTGGATCAGCTGTTGCTTCTTACCTTTAGATTTTTATGTGGATAATGACATGCTCTGTTTAGTCTCTGAGCCAGTAGGTGGTGTTTGTGGGTGAGATTCTACCACACTCTGTATCATGAGTCAGTAGATACACTTAAAAGCTGTGCAGAATGACCTCTCTGTCAGTAGGTGGCACTTGCTGGGAGGAGCAGGTTGCAGTGTTGTTTTGGGGTCCTGTAACCAGCTCTTGTTCCTCTGGAGAGGCACTCTTGTGCCTCACGTGGTGGGTGGGGCCCTGGGACTTCCAGGTGTGTCCTTATTCTCTACCACAGTAGGAGCAGGTGGGGAAGTGAGGCTAGGCACAGCTGGGTTGGGTGAGCCTACCCTGAAGCACCACAAATGCTGTTAGCAGGGGTCAAAAGTCTATTCTCTGCTTCTGGGCAAAGCTTCCAGGGAAGGGCTGAAATGGCCCCACTCTGCCAGAAAGTCTGCACGTGGGGGTGGGGCTGTCTGAGACCTGCAGTCTAGAGCAGGCCTTGCTCCTTTCCATCCTCCCCTATTCCTCGGTTTCTCCCGGGTTTCTGGCAGCAGGCAGGACCTCAAGCCAGTAGATCTACCCTGGCTGTGGAGGGTCCGTGCCCAGGATCACAGCCTGGGCTGGGTGCGGCCCTCCCATGGGAGGAGGGTTGCCCCTCAAGCACTCTGATCTGCCCCTGAAGGCACACACAGCTCAGTAGGCTCGTTCACAAATATCCCTCCTGTGCCCCTGGGCAATGCCATGGAGACCTGCGTGCACGGGATCTGGTCTGGAGGTCTGTTCCCTGGGCCTTGGAGATCAGTGCCTGACCCTGCCAGGGAGAGGAGTGCTGGTCTCAAGTCACCCACCGGGCACACAAGCTGGATCACTGTCTCTCTGCCTCAGGATCTGCCCTGCTCTCCTGGAGTCCCGAGGCAAGCGGCACCTGGGAGGGCTGGTGGGTAGGGAGCCCACAGTCTGAGTACCCCTCAGTCCACTGTAGGGCCCCAAAAGGAAATGTCCCCTTCCCTACAGATGCCTCCAGGTGGTGGCTAAATTGTCTGTTGTGGCAGCCGGGGGTAGGGAAAGGGAAAGGCGGGGAATGAAGCAATATGGCGCCTGCCCATCGGCTGGGGTCTGTGAGCCGGGAGGTGCCCTGAGGGACCTGGGAGCCCGGTGCCCTGTCCGCAAGAGGCTCACCGCTCACTGGCAGTGGCCATCCCTGGGCTGGTGTCAGCAGGTTTCTCCAACCACTGGGAAGCCCACCAGAAGTGCCACACGCAAGGGAGGGGAAATTTAACCGCTCCACCTACCGTTGTCGCTGGTCTCCAAGCCTCTCAGAGGCCGTTCTCCTTACAGTTCTCCTCTGCAACTTCTTCCCCTGGGGTCTCCCGTATTTTCAGGCACCCTTCCTTCCGACCCTCATCCTATCTGTATTTGTTTGCCTGTTTATTTTGTTTTACTTTCTTCTAAAAATCTGCCTTTCTTGCAGAGACACTCTGGCGGGTGGTTTTTCTCATCGGCCATCTTGCCCCTCCCCCACCCCAGAACATCCCAAAGTGGTTATAGCAGTCTACATTCCCACCAGCAATGTGTGGGCTGCCGGTTTCTCCATAACCTTGCAAAGATTGGCTCAATATTGCCAGTCTTTTGGGTTATAGCCATTCCAGTAGATGTGTAGTGGTAACTCACTACAGTATTAATTTGCATTTTCACAATGATTAATCATTTTTAGCATCTTTTCATATGCATATTAGTGGTTTGTATATCTTCTTTGGTGAAATGTCTATTCAAATATTTTGCCAAAAAAATACTTTGCCAATTTTTAAGTTGAATTTTTTTTGTCTTTTTAGAGTAAGAGTTGTTTATATATTCTGAATACAAATCCTTTATGAAATATGTGATTTGAAAATATTTTATATCATTCTATAGTTTATCTTGTCATAGTCCAAAGTGCTTTGTTCTTTTTGATGTGGCTGAAAATAAAGTTCTTTTCTTTTTCTTGTTTTTTTGAGATACAGTCTTGCTTTGTTGCCCAGGCTAGAGTGCGTGCCATGGCGTCAGCCTAGCTCACAGCAACCTCAAACTCCCGGGCTCAAGCAATCCTACTGCCTCAGCCTCCCAAGTATCTGGGACTACAGGCATGCGCCACCATGCCTGGCTAATTTTTTGTATATATATTCGTTGTCCAATTAATTTCTTTCTATTTATAGTAGAGACGGGGTCTTGCTCTTGCTCAGGCTGGTTTCGAACTCCTGACATCGAGCAATCCACCCCCCTCGGCCTCCCAGAGTGCTAGGATTACAGGTGTGAGCCACCATGCCCATCCAAGTTCTTTTCTTAATTTCATTTCCAAATTGTTTCTTTGTCACTAGTACATAGAAATACAATTGATTTCTGTTCTTATTTCCTACAAGCTTGCTAAAATCATATGTTAGTTCTGGTACAGTCTTTTAAAAAATTGGTAGATTCCTTAGGATTTCCAACATATAAAGTCATGTTTTATTTCTTTTTAATTGAGATGAAATTCATATAACATAAAATTAACCATTGCAAAGTGTATAATTCAGTGGCCTTTAGTACAGTCACGTTGTTGCGTAACGACCAGCCCATCTAATTGCAAGACATGGCATTTCAAAAGCAAACCTCTACCCATTAAGTAGTCACTTCCTGTTCTCTGCACCCGCCCCTCAGCTCCTTGCAGCCATCTGTTTTCTGTCTCTATGGGTTTACCTATTCTGAATATTTCAGTTGATGGACATTTGGTTATTTTCACTGTTAGGAATATTGCTGTTATAAATGTTTGTGTACAAGGTATTTTTTGTGGGCATATGTTTTCATTTGCCTTGGGTATACATGTAGGAGTAGAATTATTAGGTTATATGATAACTCGTTCATTATCTTACCACCCAAAGATAACCACTGATACAAGTTTGTATATAGACTTACTTCTTGGTTTTAAATATGGGAAAGAAGAAGAGAAGAGATATTTTACAATCCATGTAAGTTTTTGTTTGTTTGTTTGTTTTAAACTCTGACACTTCTGTTAAGTCTTTTGATGCGACTTTAGTTGGAAGAGGAGGCTGCCAAGAAGGCAGAACAGTGGAACCTGAGCAAAGATATCAGAATCCGTTTTTAAAGGCCATGAGGTACGAAGCCAATGAGGAATTCATCCGTAACCAGATAACGGGACTTTTAGTGTCTGGAGAGACATTATCACCACCTGTTGTATGAAGAGGGAGGAGTAGAACAAAGAAGGATGGGAGTGAGCTAAAGCAGTACTTCTCAAATGACCCGTGGTGATGGATCAGCTTTAACTTTCCAATCTATCCTGGACTGACGCTTTTGTGAAATATAAAATCACACATTCGGGTATCACAGAAATTTCAAGTTGCTATAAATTACGCTAAATTTCTGTACCTACTACAGTCTGATAGCAGGCAGTTTGAAGGCCAGCACAGGCCCATGAAGCCCACATTGGGTAGGGCTGCATTAAAACACTTGTTAGTGACAATTTAGATATCAACAGGAATAAAGACAGTGGCATGCTGGTAAATGTTAAAAATTGGTTCTCTGGGGGGTGAGGAGGGAACTCGGATTTATATTAATAGTACTTGACAACTTCTACTGTGTAAATACTTCCACCAGGATGGAATTCAAGCTACTAAGATGAAGCTAATGAAAGCAGAGTAGAGAACAGATGTGCACAAGTTGTCTGCCTCTCACCATTGTATTAAGGAAACCTACAAATGAGTCTTAAGTTAGTGGCAACTATCTTAACAACAAAAATAGAATATGTAACCTTTAAACCAGCAGAAGAAAACTCAAACTTACCCTATCCAATGGAAAGCAGAAAAAGGATATAAAAAGAAACACCCTTCCTTTGACTGGACTATTTCTCACATTATGCAACCTGCCCCTATTAAGCAGAAGTCAAAAGCCAAAAACTTGCTTTCCCAGCTTCCTTTGGAGCTTAGGTGCAGGCATGTGACCTAGGCTCAGCCAGTCCTATGATTCCCTCTAGACTTCTATTCAGAAGAGAGCATTAGGAGGGAGCTTTGTGTAAACCATGGTGACAAAGATGACCAGATCCTGACAAGCAGCAGTGAAGGGAAATCAGCATCAGTTCAAGCCAGCGACAGTGAGAGCTGTCGAGTCTGTGGGAGTGAAGAATGCACAGGAGGAGTCCCCAAGGTGAGATTTGGGGACTGACACTCTGGCCCTCCCTCCTGGAGAGTCTATGAGATTCCTAATAGCTTTAATAAATTCTCTGTTCTGCTTCAACCATCAACCATAGATTCTTTTGTGTGCAAGCAAGAACAATGATTGATACAACACCTGCACCTCATTTTAAAAATAACATCTTTATTGAGATAAAATTCATACACCATACAACTCACCTAATTAAAACACACGCTCCAATAGTTTTTAGTATACTCACAAAGCTGTGCAACCATAAATCAATTTTGCATTTATCACCCCAAAAGAACCTCTGTAGCCATCAGCAGTCATTTTCTATTTTCCCTCAATACCCTGCACCCTACTCCATCCCAAGCCCTGGGCAACTACTAATCTATTTTCTGTCTCTCTGTATTTGTCTATTCTGGGTATTTCATATAGATAGAATCATACATTATGTGGTCTTTTGTGACTGGCTTCTTTCACTTAACTTTAAGTTTTCAAGTTTCATCCATGTTGTAGCATTTGTCAGTATTTGATTTCTTTTCATTGTTGAAAAATATTGCGTTGCATGAATATACCTCATTATCCATTCATCAGTTGTTGACATTTGCATTATTTTCACTGTTATGAGTAATGCTGTTATAAATGTTTTTGTACAAGGTATTTTTTGTGCGCATATATTTTCATTTATCTTGGGTATACACCTAGGAGAAGAATGATTAGGTTATATGATAACTCTATGTTTAATCTTTTGAGCAACGTGTAGACTGTTTCTCAAAGTGGCTGCACCATTTTACAATCCCTCAGTAGTATATGAACATTCCAATTACTCTACATCCTTGCCAATACTTATTATCAATCTTTAAAATGGTAGCCATCTTAGTGGGTGTGAAGTCATATCTCATAGTGGTTTTGATTTGCATTTCCCTAATGGCTAATTATGTTGAGCATCTTTTCTTGTGCTTATTGCTCATCTATATACCTTCTTTGGAAAAATGTCTATTCATATCCTTTGTCCATTTTAAAATTGGATTATTCATATTTTCATTATTAAGTTGTAAATTTCTTTATATATTCTAGATACAGGTCCCTTATCAGATGTATAATTTGCAAATATTTTCTCCCATTCTGTGGGTTGTCTTTTCACTTTCTTTATCTATATTTCATTTTTTAATTTATGAAACAAAACTGGATAAATCTTGAACTGAATACTGGCAGAATCACAAACATTGATGGTTTGTGAGTATGTAGAAAATACTAGAGAGATCACTTGGAGCTAGTGTGGGTTCACTGAGAATAAGAACCAACATCATTCCATTTTGTTCTTATATCCTAACTTGCATTCTATTGCCTTTTTTTCTTACTTATTAAAAACATTATTTCCTCTTGTTAGGAATAATATTATTCCCTATAAGGAAGCATATATCAATTCTATTAGCCAGAATATCCTAATAGTAAATTTGGACTATATTTTCTCAGGTGGGGAGCTTCTAATCATGGCAAGTGTCAAAATTAGGCAATTGGACTAACCATCTGTTAAGGACGTTGCAGAGGAAACATCTGAATTGAATTACGTGGCTTCTAAGATCCTTTCCTACCCTAAGATTCTATTGTTATTCACTCATTTATCTATCTATCCGTTCATGCTTTGTTCCAAGGAAAAATTTGAGAGTCTTATAGGAATTTATAAAATCCCACAGAGAACACAAATTAGAAGAAGCCAGAAAGAGAAAAAATAATCCAAGTTAGAGATATAAAATGAAGTCAGGAGTTAGGCAAATACAAAAGTGCCTGTCTTGCCAGCCTATATACTGCTAGGTGTGAAGCCTTTGAGCTTTCCAGCAGTCACATTTGACTTGGAATTTTCTAGAAGTCGAGGCCAAGAGGTTGACTTGCTCAGTTACACAATTTAAAGTACCCATTAGGCATAGTTCTTCTTTGTAACAGGAGGAACTTGAAAAAGGGTAAAAATGTTTTACCAGCCGTCTCTTTAAAACCTCCCCTACTCTTTTTGGGAATTAAAACATGCATCTCTGCCCAAGGCCAGTAATAGAGGGGTAGGGGAGTGTCCTTTGTTATTTGTACCACAGGAGATGGCTCCACAGAATTGTCTGGGTGGAGGTCATGTCTTCGCTGGAGATGGGATGGGTCAGAACCATCAATTATAGTTAA